CCGATTTACAGGGTGTCAAAGTTTCAGATTTTTTTTATGTTTTTTGAATTTTCTCCTACAATTTTCGGAATAATTGATTGAAATTTAGTACACCTAATACACTTCAGGAACTTCATATTTGAGGCTATTGAGAGTTTTTGAATACCTACAGGGTGATAGACTTTCAGGTGTCGTACCCAATTTAACCCTGTAGAACTTTTTTGCGTGCCGTCTCTGCTTTCAATGGGACATAGATTCAGATTGTCCTTTCAATTTGGAAACTTTTTGCCCCTATGTAAATTTTTCGAAAACTGTATGGATCTCGAGATGAATGTCAAAAATAAATTACTTGTAATAAAACCGTTATTTCTCAAACACACTTATTTGAAATTTCTCAAACATTTTATTGGAAAATAAAATGACCGAAAGCTTCCATACCAAATGAAATTCAGTTGCAAAATTAGATTGAATTTTTTGAATACCATTATAATTAAAACTAGGAAAAACAAAGAAAAAATGTTTTATTTTAAAAAACTTCTCTAACTGGATTGCAAAATCTGAAATAGTATTGTAGAAAATTCTAGGACACCCTGTATAACTGAAAATGGTTACACTTTCGATATCAGGGACTGTATGACACGGTCTAGGCGCTATACATCGCTAGACTGTCGCTTCTGACGGTTGAGGTATTGTGAGTTTTGATAATTTAATCTCGTGAACGGCAATTCTAATTTCATCAGTACCATTATTCCAATTTTTTTGGGATTTTCTCTCCTCGTTTCTATAAAATAAAAATATGAATATTATTTCAATATACGTGTAGTAAGGACAAATCAGATGATTTGCCCCAAAATGTCACTGCGTTTAAAGAATTTTCCTATCAGAGAGCCTAAAAGAAAAATTCACTAGCTTGTCAGTGACAATTTGTATTGAAAAACATACATGGGGGCAAAAAGTTTCCAAATTGCAGAGACAATCTGAATCTATGTCCCATTGAAAGCAGAGGCGACACGCAAAAAAGTTCTACAGGGTTAAATTGGGTACGACCCCTGAAAGTCTATCACCCTGTAGGTATTCAAAAACGCTCAATAGCCTCAAATATTGAGTTTTTGAAGTGTATTAGGTGTACCAAATTTCAATCAATTATTCCGAAAATTGTAGGAGAAAATTCAAAAAACATAAAAAAAAATCTGAAAATTTGACACCCTGTAAATCGGAAACGAAGCTCCCACGCATATATGTTTATTTGAGATTTTCATCTCGAAAAAATGTCTTCTTCAAGCTGTTAAAGTCCTGCTACAAAAAACTGAAACACCCGGTATATTTAGCACCCCCACCCAGTAGTGTAGCGAGCGAACAGCTATTTTCTTCAGCTGGAAACGTATACGAGAGCGCTAGAAAGAGCTGAAAATTTAATTTTATTACATTATAATTCACCGAAACTTAATTTTAGATATTAATATTTGTTTTGTCTGTTAATTTCTTAATATTAAAAATGAGTTTTGGTATTTTTTAAGAATTTCATGTTTGTTTTCGAATATTTTGTGTTCAATATTTGGTTTCTTTCTTAGAATTCATGTTTGTTTTTCAATATTTTTGAGTAAATATGTATTATTTTAAACAAAATATATTTTTTGGGGTTTTGCTTCTGTGTTTTTTTTCTCTCAGGCGAAAAGTTACACCATTTTGAAGACTATTCTATTTTATTTTATTATTACTAAGCCGATACCGATATAAGCCAATATTGCCTTTTCATATCGGCCGATACCGATATCGGCCAAACACGCCGATATGGCCGATATACCGATACCGATATCGGATTATGTGAAATGAACTTTTCTAGCTATTACCAGAGGCGTACGACAGGGGCAAGTGACTGGTTGATCCTTCCCAAATTCTACGCCACTGGCGGAATTTCAATTTTATCAGAATTTTTCGATTCTTCAATACCTTCTTCGTAAATATTGTACTCTTTCTTCATAGCGATAAAGTCATTATTTTTCGAGATATTTCAAGTTAAACATGAAGCAGCAGAATTATTTTGATTTTAATGTGTATCAATATTGTCGATATTTTGGATCAATGGACTGCATTCATCAATCAAATGAAACTTCAATCCATATCAACATAAAAACATAACAGACGGGAGCTGTTACAAGGCGTTTTAATTTTTTTAATATATTACATAATCAAACACCCTGTAACAGCTCCTGTCTGTTATGTAATTATGTTTTTATTGTTAATATGGATTGAAGTTTCATTTTATTGATGAATACAACCCATTCATCCAAAATATTGACGAAATTAATGCACATTGAAATCAAAATGATTGTGCAGATTTATGTTCAACTTGAAATATCTCGAAAAATAATGACTTTATCGCCATGGAGAAAGAGTACAATATCTACGTCAAAATTGTTGGAGAATCGAAAATTTGTGATAGAATTGCAATTTCGCCAGTGGCGTAGAATTTGGGAGGGATCAACCAGTTAATTGCTCCTGTCGTACGCCTCTGGTAATAGCTAGAAAAGTTCATTTCACATAATTCAGTTGGGTGTATAATACCTACACTTCCCTCCAAATATGAAAGTGATACGTCAAATAGTTTTGAAGAACTGGGCAAAAAACATTTCAAATTTTTTTAATAAAACACCCTGTAACTCAGACAGGAGACATATTTTATCTAGGTGATTTGGGTTAAATCTTTATATTTTGAGTTCGGGATTCTATGGTTGAAATATTTCCAATTAGTAATGAAACACCCTGTTTATTTCAGCTTTTCAGATCAAAACAACACAACACCCACACACACACACACCATGAACAGAAGTGAGAAACGATATTATCAAATACTACGCCAAACCATATCTTGTGTAAAACTCGACCTTTGACTGATTATCCGGTACTTATCAAGGTATTTTCAACCACTATTATCACTGCTGGTAAATCTAAGGATTATTCAGTGGCGTTTTCATCGCACGTTTCAGTTTGGATAAAATATCATGAAATTCGGATTACTTGGAAACTTTACAATTACTCTCTAAGTTGCCTCACTTATACAACTTTTTTCCTCAGATAGGACACCTAGTAAAAGCGCAAAGCTTTGAAATGGAAAAGTTTACTTTTAATGAACTCTCAAAAAATTAGTTTCACACTGATAAGATTTATGTTTTTGTAATCTAGAATGCCTAGTGAAATAGCTCAATCATTTTTAGAAATTTTCAGGGCGGCAAATGATGACGTTATTGATAAATCTAGTATGAAAATAGGTATGATAAGTTTTACTGCTCGTAATTGAACATCCGAACAAGCCCGAACTGAAAACGAAGTTGAAATCAGAAGAATAATGTGGATTAGAAACATGGAAGCCCAAACAGATGCCCAAGAAGGGCTTGTCGTTGATGCGATCCGTTGCTCGTGGTGTAATGACATCCAAACTTGTTGTTTCCTTGCTCAGAATAACCGTCTGATATAAGTAATATTTTGTCTTCAAAGATTTATTGACGTTTTGTCTTGACAAGTTATTTTTACTACTTTTCTCAACAACAACCTAATCATTCAACTATTTTTCAAATCTAAAAATCAATCAATGAAAACAAAACAATGTACATTTCATACAAGGTCCGTTTCTATAGAACCAACTTAGCTAATGAACTTTCTGAAAGGACAAAGCAACCCATCATTTTGAGCCCGAAACACGACTATGTAAAACTGCTGATTCACCATTACCACGAGAAACTTCGCCATAGGGGAGTGGAGCTGGTTTTGAATGAACTGAGGCAAGATTACTGGGATCAATGGACGAGCAGCAGAGAAATCCATTTTTTTCAAGATGTCAAGTCTGCAAGAATCAGCCAGCTAAGCCGATACCACCCATGATGGGCCAGCTTCCAGAGGCTAGACTGAGTCGAGCGGTGAGGCCATTCGTGAACGTAGGAATGGATTACTTCGGTCCAATCCATGTCACCATTGAAAGAAGGAAGGAAAAGAGGTGGGGAGTCATCTTCACCTGTCTTGCGGTGAGGACGATCCATCTCGAAGTATCTTACACCTTGAATAGCAATTCGGCAGTTATGGCAATAATGAGGATGGCGTGCAACTTCGTGGCGGCAGCTAAAGAACTCAAAGAATCATTAAAAAACTTGAACTGCTCCGCTGTGATCGATTCCATGTCTTCAAAAGGAATTGACTTCAAATTCAACCCTCCGACAGCTGTCCACATGGGGGGAGCATGAGAGAGATTGATTGGGACTGTGAAACGGACTATAGGAAAGGTATTACACGATCAGTCGTTGAGAGATGAAACTTTGCAAACTTTCTACGCGGAAGCAGAAAAAATCGTCAATTCCAGACCACTTACAAAGGTTTCTATAGATCCCAACGACCATGAAGCTCTCACACCCAACCATTTTTTATTGGGTTCAAGTAATGGAGATTGTTCAGTTCCAATGATGAACCCAGACTCTGGATCCCTGAGAGAGAATGGCGAAAATCGTCGATGTTGGCGGATTCTTCCTGGAAGCGATGGGTTCGAGAGTATCTGCCCACACTCACTGAAAGGACTAAATGGACGAAGGAGAGTAAACCCATTCAAGTAGATGATGTAGTCGTTCTTGTTGACAATAGAACACCTAGATATGAATGGAAAATGGGTCGAGTCACTGCCGTCCATCCAGGACCTGATGGTAGAACTCGAGTTGTTAACGTCAAGACTGCAACTTCTGAATACACCCGACCGGTAACAAAAATTTACGGTTTGGAGCTAGAAGAAACCTAGTTACTTTAGCAGGAGGGAGAAAAACTAGCAAACTAGACTGGTTTCAGTCAATCCCGGAAACAACAACAATATATTCTATTTTTGCAGATCACAACAACACAACACCCACACACACCATACACTACTTTAACGCCCGCTGTCCCCCTTATCAACCTAAAAAATAATAATCATCAGTCATTCTTCCCAGATTTCATTCATTGTGTGTATCCAATAGTTTTCCTGAAACAGATTCGGAACCACTTACTCACAAACACACAAATTGTGCCAGGAGCTGTGATAGGAGGCCGGATCGTCGACCAGCATGGTTTGCTCCAAATTGGACGCCTCGATGAATTTGATGTTGACCTTGAACCCCACTTTGTTTCCCGCATGGTGCAAGGCCTTCGTGATGGAGGTGTAGGAGTCTTCCAGTCTGGTGTATTTACCCACGATGCCCACCGTCACTTCATATCTTCAATAACATAGTATATTTCATTAGCAGTCTGGAAATAGGGATTTTTCCGTGTGCGTATGACAATTTCTCAGGCGAAACCGGACACGGGAAATCATGCAAGCACGGATATAGCTATTTATACAGGGTGGCATTGAAATAAGTGCAAATATTTCAAACACTGAGAAAGCTCGACGAATACTATCGAATGACACCATTAAAAATATATTGGGATCAAAATAAAATTTGGGGTGAGACCCCTTTTCCCACCCAAAGTTCTACGCAGTAGCAAATTTAACGTCACCTCTCTTCGAATTTCCGTGCGGAGATGAGGGAGCAAAGTTATACTTTCCCGTAGGATTTTAGTTTTCCGCATGTTTATTACTATTCAGCACGATTTTATCGGGGGTAATACGACAGCTCAGATCTAGCCAAATATTTTTGTGATTGTTTTCGAAAACTTACTTTTATTGGCAATTTAACTAGAGCTGTTCTAAAAATCCACGAGAGTGTACAGTCGTATTCAATAAAAAAGCGTACAAGTATTAAAAAGAGAGGATTTCGGGATCCTAGTTCTAGTTGTGTAAAACTGGCTCAGCCAATGCTTTGTGTTTTCGAGAACCTATGACAACTTTACTGTCAACATTCGGTGAACAATCATTCACGATAGCCCGTTTTATGCAGAATAGGATGACGTTAATTTCTCTCTGTAATATACTTGAACGCTTTTTTTTGAATGCGACTGTACATTGTTTTCACCAAGTAGGTATTTTTTATGATCTTCCCCATTTTGTTTCTTCATATTGAAGCCTCAGTTCATCAATATTCCTGCCAAATTTTTTACTGACTGTTTGGTTTCCAAGTTTCGTTGTTTACAAAATTTCGCTAAATTGGTTCCAAATGGAGGAGATAGGAGGATAAAGGGGGGTGACACGTTTAGGTGGGACACCCTGTATAAAATATCAGCACATATGCCCGAGGTCCAACCAAGCGGATTCGAAGCAACTTACCTCAGTCCGAAATTGCTCCATTTCCGAGATACAGAGTGGTACAGTTAAACGATTAAAATCGAATTTTTCACTTCAAAAATTTGTAGCCGGGGGCTATTTGGGATGCGAAACCTGAACGGTGTACGTAACATTTTCACTGTGACCATTAGAGGGCACTTACCAATGCAGTTCTTATGGTTTAGAATGGCCACAACTTTTTTCTCAGTGTAGTTTTTCACTTTTTTTGTTGAGGAGATAATTTTCCGAATAAGTGTGAATAATAAGTGAAGAAGGTACACTTGTGGAAATTCGCTGAAGTGTTTTTGAGATATTTCGGTTTTTAGTGTTGGATGCCGCACCGGAATATTAAAATTATTTTGAATAAAAAATGTTTGCTGTTGTCTTTGTGAATATAATTCAGTGAATGAGCAGTGCACACTGGATTTTCCAAAATACTTTTATGGAGTGTAATTATCAATTTTTATTTTTTTAATTTACCACCCTGTATCTCGGTAACGGAACAATTTCGGACTAAGGTAACTTGCTTTATATCCGCTTATTTTGACCGTATTTTGATGCTTCTTGTAAATGTTTCCTTATTTGAGGTTCAAGAATATTATTTTGTACCTGGGGGATCATATTTGTTTTCTATGATTATTTCTTGATCCTAAGTGAGCAAATTATTCATAGTAGCATATAGAAGGCTAGCATTCATTCATTTCATTTCACAATTAGATGTTGAATGGAAACATCCATTACATATTCAAGAATGAGAATTCAATATTCCAGCCGCTTAGATATGAAATTCAGTGGCGGCTCGTGACTTTCATGACAGAGGAGGCTGAATGATATGAGATTTATTGTGAAAAACAACTCTCTACGACTCACCCAATCTGTTTACCAGTTAACCTGAACTTAATACTTGAAGAGATGTGTTCCTGTGATTTGCAGTATCTATCCAATCCGCGAGGCAAATTTTTCAAATCATTATACCTAATCGCCCCCAACATGATGACTTATCGGTTGAAAATAATACGCAGTACCAACAAAATAGCTTATTCCTTACCTCAGATCCCGTCAACCAGATATATTTTTTATAATTATCAGAATTGAACGAACGATTTTGTTTGTTACCTGTTTCAATCAGATTTTTTAATTCCGGTGTCGGACGTTTGTATTTCACAATCAATTTATCTTCATAAGACAAAGCACTGAATGGGTTCACCAAAAAGTATTCCACTAAATCGCAATGGTTTAATTTAAAACACTCAGAAATTTATAGAGCCCCTAACCATTAACCTAACATAAACATAAGCACTCGCGCTGGATTGTCCGCAATTCGCGACGCGACATGACAAACACAAACACGTGCTATTCGGGCGTATTCGGGAATTTGCATTGCGCGCGTGGGTTGCGCGTTGTGAAGGAGTCTAGCCTCCTATAGATGTTGCCAAGTTGAATATTTTACGCGTGATTTGCAGACTTCAACGTGTGATGCGTAGGCAAGCACTGTTGCCAATTCAAAAATATTTACCTAAAAACAGGAAATAAAATCAAAACCCATGTATTTTGGTGTCCTTTTAATGAGAAAGTATAGATAATATCAGTTTAAGGAGAATATCTGAGGAGGCTCAGCCTCCGTTGCCTCCTCTGAGGAGCCGCCACTGATGAAATTATTATAGCACGTTCAATAATCCAAGGTGTAAATTACTTGATTAAATACCAAGAGTCCAAAATCCATCTTCTGACCCAAGTGTGGTAAAAAATCCGGCCGATTAAGTGCCCCATTATGCCTGGTCATTTATAAATATTCTTAATCAGTCTTTGATGAACTTTTATTGCTAAAATTATCCACTGTTTTATGATCTCTTATGTAAATATTACTTTGATTGAGGATTGAGACAATTATTTTGTACCTGGGGGATTAAATTTGTTTTCTGCCATTACTTGTCATCTTTTGATCCCATTGATGAGGAAATTACTCACAAACGTTAATATTTATTTCATTTCACAATTCAAAGGTGTTTAATGAAAACATTTATGAATTTAAGAATGAGAATTCAATATTTGAGCCCTTCAGAGAGATTGGATTATATAGCACATTCAATAATTCAAGGGGTGCAAATAGATAGCTTACACTGTATAAAACCCCATTTGCAAATATTTCCTCAACTGTGGTCTGAATTGAAAATATTTATACCTGAGAAATTATGCATTTTCTAATTATAACAGAGCTGATGGACATCTAAGAATCCCAAGATTCCCAAGTGAGGAAAATATTCACTAGTGCTATATTTTGTCATTCATTTATTCCCTTTAATGTGGTGTTTTTTCAATGATCAATTTTGAACATGATGTTTATAACAAGATCATTTATTTTCAATAGGTTTCATTGAACTTTGTTAGCTAAAAATCTGAAATATACTAAAATCTCCAAAGTGAATATTTTCTAAAATGGGATTCAAGACCATTTCTAGGTACCTGGGAAGACATTCATTTCATCTGATTATAATACCTGTTATAATAAAAGGGCATCTTTTGTTTTCACCTAAGAGGATTCACAGAACCAATTATTTTTTATGGATATATTTTCTTTCACAGTGTGGTGTCTTTTGATGAATAAATCTATCAAATTCCAAAATAAGTTCTTCATGATTATCCAGATCCTCTTTTTGAGAACAAATAGCATTTTGAATCCATAGTTAATTTAACAATAATACCAAGGGACTAAAATCCATCTGGTGATACAAAGTGTGGACAATATTGAAAAAAGTTTAGTCACTTTTAGAGGGGAGTATTGATATTTTCACTATTATAAATGTGGAATTTTGTGAAAGAAAATATGAACATTTCAAACTCAATTCAGTAAGTACTGACATTATTTTAAAAAATCAGTAATAAAAGGGATATAAGTACTTGAGATGGCGCATCCTATCTCCCAATTCTATCCAAGGCTTCATGTATTTTCTCATAGGTGGTAATGGAGTGATACCTAGGTGGAGTCTATCACTCAAATATTCAGCCATGCCATGGTTCTCCATGAACACTGGAACTTCATAGACTGAATGTAAATCAGGTACACTAATTATCTAAAAAAAAAACATCACATAGAAAATGTACCAAACATTGTGGTGAATTTTAAGCAGTGAATCTACCTGTTGTGGTGCTACATGACAAAAATTTGATATTTTTTCTTTGACACTTTGTCCTATAGGCTGCTCTGATCGGCACACAATAATATCAGGGGACAATCCTAGTCCTCTCAACTCTCTAACAGAAGACTGTGTTGGCTTTGTTTTATGTTCTCCTGTAGTTTTGGGTTGTGGAACTAAAGAAACATGAGCCACACAGAAATTTTCACGTTTCACCCTGAACTGAAACTGCCTGAAAGCTTCCACAAAGGCCATACTTTCTATATCACCAATTATACCCCCCAATTCAATAATGCATACTTCAGGAATTTTTCCAGTTTCTGATACAGGTTTTTTGGACACTTTTTCCACCCATTCTTGGATAGCATCAGTTATATGGGGTACAACTTGAAAAGGGGCAAGTTATTTTATGATACTTCATTAAAATGAATACAATGAGCTTACCTTGAACTGTTTTCCCAAGATAATCCCCGTGTCGTTCTCTATCAATAACCTGTTGATAAATTTTTCCAGTTGTGATGTTATTCTGTTTGTGTAATGTGATGTCTAGGAACCTCTCATAATTTCCTAGATCCAAATCAACCTCTCCACCATCGTCCAACACATATACTTCCCCTACAAATAGTTGATAAGAATAACAACTAAAATTAAACTTCTCCTACCGTGTTCATAAGGTGAAAATGTTCCAGCATCCAGGTTGATGTATGGATCAATTTTTATCGAAGTAACTTCTATACCACAACATTTCAGTATAGCACCAAAAGAACTGGAAATTACTCCTTTTCCTACGCCACTAATAACACCGCCTGTTACAAGAATATATTTCATTTTGATTTTCAGATTTTCATTGATTCTTTTGGCCGCCAAAAACTGCAACACACGTGCACACAAATTAAATAAAAATTGCTTGGGCTTTGCGATTGCGCTTGCGTCACAACAAAGCCTTGCGATTGCGCATCACGGCTACATATGTCTGTTCGTTTGCTATGCTCAAGCATAGCTCGAGTGATAATAATGGAAGTGTCTTAAAATAAGAAGAAGTAAGCTTTTGACAACTCTGTCAATGATTATGTCATTTACATTTTTCATTTAGTAAACAAGAAACATTCACTGCATTCACATGACATATATCTCGTATTTCGTCGGTTCGTCCTATTATTATTGTTTTATATGATTTATTAATGAATAAATGAAAATTCAGTTCAGATGATTCTGGCGTTATGGAAAGGCTCTTCCATTTAATTCTTGGATTATCCATGAATTTGGTATGCTTTTATCAGGTACAAGGTGAGATTATTGATATTTTCGCCTACAAAGTGTATCACCTTATTTCAATTCTGCAGGATCCATCTATGAAAACTTGAAATACTTCGAGATAATCCATGCAGATCAACTTGAACATAAAATAATAAAAAGAGGATTGAAAGAAAGTACTCATCCATTTAACCACATAAGAGAAGTAAATTTGAAAACTCATGGTAGAGACTTGAGACTAATTGTATCTCCTAAGAGGGATATATTGCATTCCAATTTCAAAGCATTTGCAGTAGATGGAGATGGAAAAGAAACAACTGTACATATAGGTAAAGTGTTGCTACAAACTCATTCATTATCATTTTATAATTGGTAGATGCCTATTCAAAATTCCACAATAGGTATATGAAATATACCAATAAGATACATTTATAAAGAATTTTGAATAACAAAAAATAAGAGAGTTGCCTCAAAGAAAGGATTTTGACCCCTTTTTCCAATATGGAGGTAGGTATATTGATATGATTATGGGAAAGAAATGGACTTATCTGCATGGTTTCTAGAAAAATGTAGGTGCCTGCTTTATTTGTAAACATTACATATTTATTATAATGCTGGGTTTATAGATTCAATCAAACTAACAATTAGAAATTAGCAATTAACAATCAACAATTAATACTCATGAGGGTGTTTATACTTATCTGATATTAATTGAGAATTAAAAGTGAAATGTCTTTTGATTGAGGATCAAAATGATGTTGAAAAGTGATTTTGGTTTCCACAATTCATGAATCCATAAGAAATATTCCAATTTAATATCACCAAACTCCACTTGAACAATAATGAATCCAATCTTCATGTTCTGTCTCCAGAATTTCCTAATTCTTAGTTGTTAAGTTGAAAGTTGGCCAACTTTGTGATTCTTTATTTAAATGATATATGTAAATGTATAAACCCTCTTAGATGTTTCCCTGTATTCAACTCTTTAAGTTCATAGTTGTTAGTTTAATTCTTAGTTTAGTTGGATCTATAAATCCCAGCATAAAAGTACAACAAATTATGTGGCAGAATTGCCATTGAAGTGAATGGGTACCTTTTTCAGTAATAACATAGGTGTGAACTGTCAGTTAGGATGTATATATTGTGAAATATAAGGTAAAATATGTATGTATTATTTATTTGTGATATTTTTATACCTTCTCATTTATTATTTGTATAATTGTTTCAAGGATTTTGTATAATTTTGTACTTTGTAGTCATTATTTTATGTAGGTACCATTTTTATTAGAACACCCAAGTTGATTTTTTATATTTCACTAATGCTTCTGACTTTGTTTATAATCACAATTTACTTCAAAACACTAGTTGGGGGAGGAAAATACAAAAATATAAAAGGAAGACTAATTACCAAATCAAGAAATAAATCACTTGTTCAAAACAGTGAGTAGAGACATTATATTCCTAAACATTATCATTTATTCAGGTGTGGCTCATTCAAGAAGGTTCAACCCTGTAGATCTATAACCAAGAAATCAATTTTCATTCCTAGGAGGCTAAGATTTTACAGAAGTATACATACATACACTACAAACTGTATACCACTTGGCATTTATAATGAATTAATACTCCTTCATGAGTTCATGCAACTTCCTTATTTCCTGTTTGATTAAAAAAACTGATAGTAATTATCAAGTTAATTTCTTTAGGAACAATGTTTAACTTTACTGCATATAAGTGCAGTTGTATTAAAAAAAATCATACAATAATATATTAGAGAAATTAACTTCATCCTATTTGCCTAAAACAGGCTATGGGGAATATAGGGAATGATTGTTTACCCAATTTTGACAGTATATAAGTTAACATAGGATCTCAAGAACACGAAGCATTGGCTGAGACAGTTTTACACAACTAGAACTAGGATGAATTAAACCTCTCTCTTTAATAATTGTATGCTTTTTTATTGAATACCCAGTTGTATTTTAGAGATGCAAAGAATCTCATAATATAGTCAAATTAATTTCAGAAAACGTATTTTAGAATAGTCTATTAAATTTCAGAATTTGTCCTTTGTATTGACTATTTTGAAATACAATTGATAATTCAAACGCTTTCTGAAATACAATTCTTGTTTCTTCAAATTCAACTTTTCATAATGAAATATACACCGTGTCCCAGCTAAAAAATCAACCGCGCGATCGAATGACTTGAAATTTGGTCACCCAGTATATTTGATGATGCTCACTCGAATTATGCTATTGAATAAATCGTAGAGGTATACAGGGTCACACCGAAGTGCACCTCAACTTTATTATTTGAATAGGGACACCCAGTATATTATTCCATATTCAAGTAGAGTTCATTATTACAAATTCGACAATGCCGGGTTTGATGGGATTTTTTTCAAACGACTACGAAGATATGGCAAAAAATAAAAAATTCGTATGATTAGATTTCATCAATATAACACAATTGAAATCGAATGAAATGAAAATAATTAAAATCTGATAACCACTAATCGTCTCGATTGTTATAGCAACTGGCCAGCTCGGTCGCCAGACCTCACCCCACTTGATTTTTATTTGTGGGGCTACTTGAAACAACAGGTTTATGAGTCGTCAATTGTGAATATGGAAGAAATGAAAGAGAAAATCACATCGCAACGTGATACATAGGGTCACAATGAACGTTATCAAAAGAGCTAAGAAATGTTTGCAGCAGAATGGACGACATATTGAGCAGTTGAGGTTTTAATTATTTTCTTTTCATTCGATTTCAATCATGTTAATTATATCAATAAAATCTAATCATATGAATTTTTTATTGAATCGTTTTATTTTTTGCCATATCTTCGTAGTCGTTTGAAAAAATCCCATCAAAGCCGGCAGCGATTTTACTAAATATACTGCACGCTAGCACAAACCACGCCCACCATAATACGTCATATCTCCAAACATATAATATATATAATATACTGTGCTCCAACGCAAGAATACACTTTTTATGATTTTGACACGAATTCGACTGAAGCTCTCTCGTTGTCAATCTCTTGTACGCAGTAAATTCATACACCCAAATATGCCCAAATGGTCTACTGGTTAGCGCTGTCGACTTTCAGTCTGAAGGTCCATGGTTCAAATCGCTGTGAACTTGAATTTTTTTTTGCAACTTTTTTTTTTCACCAATGTTTTTTTACTTCATTCTGGTTTTCCTTTTTCATAAAATATTTGAAGTCAAATAGGTCAGTGCGTTTAGGATAAACAGTCTCATTTTATTCAATTTTGTTGAAGAACTCAACTTTTGAAATATATTATTAATCAATGTGTTTCTACATTCCATTCGGTTTTCCTTCATCAAAAATATTGCAATCAGGAATAGGTTAGTTCGTTGAGGATAAATAGTCTCTGAGTTTTGCCTAAGTAAAGTACTTTGAAGATGAGATATAACGGTGGGCGTGGTATATGTGCTAGCGTACAGTATATTTAGTAAAATCGCCTCCGGACGACGGTTTCCCGACGGTCAATCAGCCGGCATTCATTCCATTGATGGGCTTTCAAATCCCCATACTGGCATAGGAACGATCAAAATATAAAAATGATAATGGATGATAAGATTGTCACGACCCACGGCTACAGGGTGGATGACTAGGGGGGTGAACTCGCTTGGGAGGCCGAGAAATGAAAACAATTTATTCAACAAAGAATAGTTTCATTAGTGGTTCAGATAAACGAGGCTCAAAACAAACGTACATCAGAATCATTTCATAACTTGGTACCATGAAGATGGATACTTTAGTACTAGTACAAAATTATCTCAAGAAGACGCAGGGAATGAACCATAGTGAGTGCTGGCTGATCAGATCCAAACTGTTTTCTGCCATATCGGCTGATCAATATTTATTTAGATTAATCAGAGATTAAACCAAACCGATTTTTTAACGCCTCGACACGTGTTTCGCTAACTATGTTAGCATCTTCAGGAGAAGATATGCTGCTTATATACTAGGTATATGTTCACCCAACCGTGAAAAATACTAACCGTCAAGTTAATGTTTGTCATGGTTGAGTTCACATGTTAATCTTAATTTTCATATTAGTAAACTATAAAGAAGGGTATATGGAATAGGTCCATTATCCTAATTCATTACTCTATTCTATTCTTAAATATCTCTAAGCTTTCATAGGCGTCTAATCTTCTAATTTGAGGTTAGTAATATGTATGTTATGATTGTGATTGAACATATGTTCGGCTACACAAGATTTATCTAACCTGCCATATTTCAAATGTGCTATGTGTTCTTTGAACCTTGTTTCTATGGGTCGCCTGGTTTGGCCTATGTATGTTTTATCACAATCATTACAACTTATTTCGTATATTCCCGACTTTTCAAGTGTGTCCACTTCATCTTCCAGATTGCCAGTGGACACACTTGAAAAGTCGGGAATATACGAAATAAGTTGTAATGATTGTGATAATACATACATAGGCCAAACATCGTACAGAAAATCTCTCAACGTTGTTTTGTAGAGCTCAAAAAGTGGGAATGAGAAAGTGTCTTTTGTTTTTCTATCTATCTTTGAATAACGTCATGAAAAAATAAAAACGAAATCGGCATATTTCGGTTTTGCAGGCATATCTCCGGAAATACTCGGCATTTCGAAATATTTCAAACGGCATATTGTTAAGCTCAAAAATGCGCAACTTTTCTCTGATTTAACCATCTTCGTATATCTTGGACACTGTGTATAAAGTTAAATGTCCTCGATTCCGAGAAAAAAAGACAAAGATGGCGACTTTCAGACCGCAACGACTTCTACCACGGTCGCGTCTTCGGCGAGACCGACTCGCACGTCAGCCTCCACATGGAGGACGGACTGATGACGGGCACCGTCCATCTGCCGGACGACATCATCCACGTGGAGCCCTCCTGGAGGCACCTGCCCCACCTAGACAACCGCTCCATGATCACATACAGACAATCGGACGTCAAGTTCAGCTGGGACAGAGGACAAGCAGAGGTAAGAAACGAGTCTTTACACTACACTTTTTTACCACTAACCAAACCGATTTTTTAAATGCCTCAACACGTTTTTTTTATGATCTGGTTCTCACGAAAAGGGATATCCTGTAATGTTCAGAGAACATCGTGAGAACCAAGGAAAATACGGTAGGAATTGGTGTTTTTCTTGAATTTCTGGAGGTTATATGCCTCGGGGAACACCTCCCTTGGCAATGTATTCCAGAGCCTCGCTGTTCGTTGGATGAACGAGTCTTTGGAAAGAGATGTTCTGCAGGTCTCCAAAGTGACCACGAAAGGGGTGCGAAGCCTCAACTCGACGGGTTAATCTCGCGGGGAATGCCAAGGGAGGAACAATTGTTGATACTTCAGAAGAGCATCGTCCATGAAGATATATCTATAAAATAGAGCCAGATCGCCAACTTTTCTACGGTGTTCCAGAGAAGTGAGTGAGTTTGTGAGCGAGGCATCACCCACGAGACGAATCGCCCATTTTTGGACAGAACCCAACGGTATCAGGGTATGTTTGGGTGCTGCACTCCAAATATGGGAACAATGACATTCACCATGAATATCGATAGATTTACCCACTGTAGCAGAATTACTATCGATACCCAGCGAGCACAAAAACATCTCAGAGATGTTAAAAGTACGAGATTTCGAGACATTGACCCTCCACTGCGATGTTCTGTTCACACATGAATAGAACTATTATAGAACAGCCAATGTCCGCCGTAGGCGGCATTTATCGAGATGTCCTTGATATGTCACAAAACTACCTTCTCCCTAGTTCTTTTTAAAGCCTTTTCATGGACACAACAGAAGATTTTCAACGCGTCTTGCGCACATTAAATCGCTGTAAAAAAACATTCTCGAGGTACTTTTCTGAAGCATTTTGTCAAAATGAACTTTTGTATTAGGATTCCATTTGCCTTGAATGAAGAAAATGCATTAAAAATAAATTGCTCCACAATGCATGATTTTGCAACTGCGGAGAAGATGTCTATTGATAAATTCGTACTTTTATATATTGATTACACTGAGGCACCGGACAACACATCTTGCATCTGATGGTCATTATTACAAACTAAATAAGTCTTCTAACACAATAAACTTCACCAAATTCCTTTCTGTTCGTTAGCAGCGTGATGTAAGCGTGACACGCTGCAAACGCGAATGCCAATTGCGAACAAGAAGAACAAAATCGAACAAATCAGAATTCATCGTATTGTGACGTAAGCATGAGACGTTGTGGTGGGGCAAACAAAGAAAGGGCACAAAAGAACCAAAACAATACTTTCAATATCCTTCTAAGACCTCTTTGGGAAGTGCATATTACGCCTCAAAAAAACATCCTCATGCCTACATTTCTAAAACATCCCAAAACATCCCAGGGATACCTCTCAGTAGGCAAACAAAGAAATTCCACAGAAGAACAAAAACAATACTTCAATACCCTTCAAAGACCTCTTTGGTCAGTGCATATTACGTCTCAAAATAACATCTTCATGCCAATATTTTCAAAACATTGTAATGTCTGGCACCACCATCCCCACCAAGCCCACCATATCTCGGTATTTCCATCAGCAACACTCTTTCATGGGATAATCATGTCAGATCCATCGCAAAAGCTGCTTCACAAAAACTCGGATTCTTGTTCCGTTCCTACTTTAAACCTCAACAGCTTCTCATGATCTATAAAGCGCAGCTACGGCCCGTTCTAGAATACTGTTCCCACGATATGGGGTCCAGCAACAAAACATACGCTGATGCTCTTAGATTCCATCCAGAGAAGAGCCATCCGCCTGGTGGGTGACGCCACACTCCCTCACTCTTTGACATCATTGGAACAACGTAGAAAGGTCGGCGATCTTTCACTTTTCTATCGATACTTCCACGGGAAATGTTCTTCGGAAATCTCTGATATCATCCCTTCACTAGCAATACCAATCAGGCGAACTAGACAAGCCCAGTAAGCACATCCTTTCGTTGTCAACCTCGAAAGATGTCGAACAGCACTTCATCAAAACTCCTTCATCCATAAAACGGCTAGGCTCTGGAATTCATTGCCTGAGGAAGTATTCCCAACAACATATAATCTCCAGATGTTAAAAAAAATTCCAATACCTACCTCCTGTCCCTATCCTCCCTAGGAACGCACGATGTTCTTTGAATATTATAAGGATTTCCTTTCGTGCGCTCCAAGCGATAAAAAAAAGTGACAATTTGTCATCTCTAGGGGCTGGGCGATCCGCACAGGAGCCACAAGATATGCGATTACGTCAAAGAGGGGGTGGAATTGGAGGGTGACGATTATGATGAGGAGGAGGAGGTGTCCAAATGGACCGAGGAGGGATCTCACAGGCAGAAGAGGCAGATTTTGCAGGACGAGTATACTCCTACTAAGACGAGATGTCCGCTGTTGTTGGTGGCCGATTATAGGTTTTTTCAGGAGATGGGGGGCAGCAATACCAAGACTACGATCAATTATTTGGTGAGGTTTCTTCCAGGGTTGCGAAAATTTTAATCAAATGATTTATCGAATAATTTATCGACTGTATTATATTATGATATAATACCGATTACCGTTATACAGGGCGTTCACCAGGAAATGATATAGATCCGGTTGAAAAAATTATTGTAGGTCAGTTTTTTCAAATCGAAAACCCCTCAACATATACTTTTAACAACGTTGTAACCAACCTCACCAGAGATGTAAGTATAAGGCATGGTCATAGCAAAGAATAGTCGGTTAGTCACCGTCATAGTGTTTCCCAATGTATTTACACTCCTTAATCATTGTAGTATTCCTGATGATGGAAATAAACATTTCCGATAGCTTGGATAAACTTTAAAGAGTATTCCTTTTTACACTGCTGCTACCCCCAATATACACTAGTTTCATTCCTACTGGTCAGCAACGACTTCCCTTCCATATAAATCATTTGATATAGGTAATAGGAAATATCGGGGAGTTCAGTCAATCGGGCTACACGCAAACTACTTTATTGCTATGGCAAGCTTTCAGCCTTGAAGAAGAAAATTAAAATTTTCGAAAGCTTGGCATAGCAATAAACTAGTTTGCTTGTAGCCCGATTGACTGAACTCCCCGATATTTCCTATTACCTATATCAAATGATTTATATGGAAGGGAAGTCGTTGCTGACCAGTAGGAATGAAACCAGTGTATATTGGGGGTAGCAGCAGTGTAAAAGGAATACTCTTTAAAGTTTATCCAAGCTATCGGAAATGTTTATTTCCATCATCAGGAATACTACAATGATTAACCCATTAGTGCATGAAGTTACTTTTTTTCAAATCTCTATATTCTGAAGATGTTCACTCATTCAAATATACCCAAAGAATGATAACTCATGACGAATAATTTTTTTTTACAACAGATTTTTTTTATATGACACGTCCATTTTAATGGACTCTATGCAAATTGGTTCATTGATGAAAGTGATCAGTAGAGAATTTCAGTATTCATTTTTATTCAAGTACATATCCAGAACATGAAAAACTCAATAACATCAATCACAATATTATCAATAATAATAATAATGATAATAATAATGAAAATTATACATCATGATGACTTGACACATTTTGAAGCATCTATCAGATGCAGTCCTATTTTACATATAAAATTGCAATTTTGTATACTCTACTGAATGGAATTCAGCTGATGGGTATATGGAAATGCATCATATCAAGAAATTATTTGGGATAATACTTCCAGCCCTTTTTTTGGTGCTCCTCACACGATCCAGTGGAAGGAAATGTGAACCCGTTGAAGAAAAAGAGGAGTCGAACGAGTGGATGGAGTCGTGTCTATAGTTGACTTGCTGCAGTATAACGTACAATCATTTGATGCTATAATATTCGTTTTCATGATGCAAAAATGTATATTATTTTCAATTTCATCAAAATCAGGATCAGAATAACGAAAGTCGCACGGCTGTTTGATAATTCCTTTAGAAATATGATTTATTATGGATTCGCAGTTTCTAAATTCGAATCACTGCATTTCTGCCCACTTTTCTTCTGGAGGCAATATAATATATGATTATCTGTTGATTGATCGATATCTGAGACATTTTCCATATGTCTAAGAGGTGTTGCAAGAATGATCTACAAAAAAATCCTGATGACCGATATGCATAGAGTCCATTATAATGGACACAACACAAAAGCAATATTTTGAGTGTCTTACAAAGAAAATAATTATTCGAATTACCTTATAGGTTCATGAGCACATGCATATAATGAGATCTTGAGGGATAGGAAATTCTGAAATTCATATACTTCGTTATAATAAATACCTCCCCTCCTTGTCGAGTGCAATACAAATTGTTATCCATTTGATCACGTGCAGAATATTGTCAAGATACAAATTCATGAAATAGAAGCGATAGCTGTTCGTTGTTGAACTACACTTATAGTTCTGGCGCATGAAACATTCAATTCCTGCATGATTGACGTCACAAAAAATTAGACAAGGAGCGTCCATTATAAGACACATTATGCACTAATGGGTTAAGGAGTGTAAATACATTGGGAAACACTATGACCATGCCTTATACTTACATCTTTGGTGAGGTTGGTTACAACGTTGTTAAAAGTATATGTTGAGGGGTTTTCGATTTGAAAAAACTGACCTACAATAATTTTTTCAACCGGATCTATATCATTTCCTGGTGAACGCCCTGTATAACGGTAATCGAATTGATATCGAAATTCTACCGAACTGGGTCCTCTCCTACGAATAAATCGATACACAATCGAAAATAAATGATCATGTCCAGAAATAATAAAAAAAAAATTTTGGTCCGCAAACGCAATTTTCAACTTAAAATTTGAAATATTTCGAAATCGGTTAGACTTGGGTATAGGATATTATACATGAAACATGTGTGAAATCTTAAACCTTGATAATATACAGGGTGTCCTATTTGAAATAACGAAGTTGGGGTCCACTTCCGGTACAACCGAAAGTGCCATAATCTTCCAAATATTTTAGCCGGATAGCACTTATCAACAATAGTGAACTCCCAAATTTTCAAATTTGGCCCACCTATGGTTTTCTATATATTGATCGATGCAGTTCCCGGAGGGACACCCTGTATAGTTGGATTTACATATCAATCAATTCTTATTTTTCAATTTATTTTCAAAATAAATAGTGCAATTTGATAGATGATTTTGTACAAACTCACTAAATACTGCAACAAAAAACCTAAAATTTTCATATTGTGGCACCCAGCACTCATTTTGCGAAAATATTATACAGGGTGGTCCGTTTTTTAATACGGAAAATTTAACAGCGTATAATACTCGTTGAAATAATAAAAAAACTTCCTATGAACATATACTTTTAAACGCTTCGTTTTTGAGATATTGGGTGTCAAAAATACGCTTCTGAATATATTTTTTTAATCAAAAGTTAGAAACGGTAGATGAATTAACGAAATTTTTCACAGATACTAAACTTTTTGAACTTTATCAGATTAAATGAAAAGTATTCATAAAAACTATTCAGTGGCGGCTGAATCTGGGGTGGCGAAGGTAATAATTACACAAATTTTTCGGGTAATTATTTTTCATTTATTTTTCAAGTTTCAATGAAAAAAGCTCGCTTGTAAGATTTTATAACATTTTTTAGTTGAATAATACTACTTGATATCAATTAAAGAAGTAGGCTATACGCAGTTTCACTGTTTTGAAGACAAATAGCAGGATATCCACTGCGGTCTATGGCCTGTTGTGACTCTTCTAATAGGTAAATGATTGATTTGCAATGGTTACATGATTGGTTTGGTAAACGGCCAATCCTAACTAGATTAGAGCATTACAATGTTTCTTTCATTGGGTTTAGAGACATGCATAGGTTTGGTTTTTATTTTTCCTCCTGAAACGATGCTATTAGATAAGAAATCTAGGAACAAAAAAATTGTATTTTGAAATGCACGCTCCTGAAAAAAAGTAACTCTTTTATGAACTGTAATAGGTGTGAAAGTTAGCTCATTGATATTTTCACAAAAGATGTGAATTTCATCACAATCGGTACGGTTCCGCTGAGCCTCAGCTGGACAGAGGGTCCCTTGTTTGGTACACCGATGGTTCGAAAATGGAAGAAGGGGTAGGCGCGGGTGTATATGGACCCGGATGTAGGCTATTTGAAGCCTTAGGTCACTCCCCCACTATCTTCCAAGCTGAAATACATGCCATCAACCTTTGCGCCCAAAGGTGCCTGAGCAAAGGCCTGAGGGGTGCCAACATATATATCTGCTCAGACAGCCAAGCCGCACTAAAAGCCCTAAAATCATTCGTTTTCACATCAAAGATTACATGGGACTGCTTTGAAACACTCATGCAACTGGGAAAGGGCAACAAAGTCACACTTATGTGGGTTCCAGGGCATGAAGGAATCAAAGGAAATGAGGCAGCTGATCGCCTTGCAAAAAAAGGTGCAGCATCTGCACTTTTTGGTCCTGAGCCTTTTTGTGGGATAAGCAAATGTCACCTAAAGGGAGAACTCGGGAAATGGGAAGAAATTGAAAAGTCCTCCTACTGGAGAGCAACTCCAGGTCGACGACAAGCGAAAAGGTTCATCAACCATTCGCAGAACCGAGCCAAAGAGCTACTCAGCCTCAGCAAACCAGAGCTAAAGCTTATCACAGGCTTTCTCACAGGACACGGCCCTCTGAGGTACCACCTCAAAAAGATGGGTCTGGCGGAGACTGACACTTGCCGCTTTTGTAACAATGCGACCGAAACCGCGGAACACATACTTTGCTCATGTGAAGTATTAGTCCGCCAAAGGCTGAACCACCTAGAGCAGGTTTATCTCACCCCTGCTGAAGTGGAAAAGTCAACCGTCAGGAAAATCGTAGGCTTCATCAGAAGTCTAGGGTTAGAGGACCAAAACTAGATAGGGGTAATCACAATAGATCTTCTAGGTCGCAGTGATCGAGAGGTCTCCCAATCTACAATTTACAATCACAATCGGTTATAGCATTTCTGAGAAATCAATAAATGATCGATTTTTTAAAGAAACTTGAACACCCTATATCTCGAAAACGAAGCGTTTCAAAGTATATGTTTATAGGGAGTTTATTTATTATTTCAACGGGTACTATACGCTGTTGAATTTTCCGTATTAAAAAACGGACCACCCTGTATAAATGTTTTTCCCGCACTACTGCGGGAAAATGACACTTCCCATACTAAATTGCGTGCAAGTATAGGGTGAATCACGCACGCCTGTAGAAAAAATAAATAGTGTATTAAACGATCATGAAATGGCAAACGGTTTAATACATTCGCCGTCGGGTCGTGTATGAAATAGTACTATTTTTTTTTTCATAGATAAGCCTGATAGATCGCGTCCACAAAATTTACAATGACACCAGCTGGCAGGACAGACAAGAAGAGGGTTTCAAGGGGATGGGTTTCGTTATAAAAAAAATTGTCGTCCATAGCGATCCTACTAGGATCAAGTCGGGTGAGGCGCACTACAATATGATTAGAGAGAAATGGGATGTCAGAAATCTTCTGGAGGTAAGTTTTTACAGATATTTATCTATGCACTTATTGGAATGCATCAGTTGTGTTGCATGACTCACACATCCTAGTTTTCTAATTGTATTTTAGGAATCTTGTAAGAAATAAAGTTCGTCATTTTGAGCTAGAAACAAATTTGAGTTTATTTATGAACGGGAAATTAACTTGAGTCTGATTTGTAACAATGATTTTTCCCACAACTTTCGGAAAATGTGTGCCATTTTCAAATATTTAAAATGTTGTTTCTTTCAAAAATTGCCATCACCAAGAAAACATAAAATGAGGAGTTGCTCTAGTTATTATATATTTCAACTTTTACATCCTTATAAAAATTTTTACACTCGTAACTTCATTTTTAAAAAACATATAAGTATCTGTGTATTACAATAATACTATGATGTGATCTATATCTCATTAACTTCTTAGATATACTGGGTGCTCCCGAATTAGAGTGACAAAACCTAGGAGAGATTCCTTCTTTGAAACTTAGTTCCCATACTTTCAACATAAAGATATTTTATACAGGGTGGGCCACCAGTAACGCCTCGGTCTCTAGAAGGCTAACCACTTATCTTCTTGGAATTCTTCCTCTCTAGGAAGTTGCATGTCAACATAGACTACCATTTAAAATTATTTCGAAACATACAGGGTGTCCCCAAAAACCATAAAACACTGAAGTTAAACTTTTTTCTATCGAACACCCTATATATTATTTCATTTTTAGATTCTCCCTAATGAGCTGATTTCAACGACCCATCATACTTTGGGTCTAGCAGTTATAATTACTGAAATATAGGGTGTGAAAAATCGAGATTTTCCAAGTTCAAGAATTTTTTGTGTCGAAACTATTCATAATTGGTCAAAACGGCTTACATGTCCCTATCTCAACTTTTGATTAACTATCTACTGATATTTAATTGGGACATATACCGGGTGATCAAGATTCTGAATTCTGCACCACCCTGTATTTGTTTCAATTAAATGTCAGTAGATAGTTGATCAAAAGTTGAGATAGGGACATGTGAGCCGTTTTGACCAATTATGAATGGTTTAGACACAAAAAATTCTTGAACTTGGAAAATCTCGATTTCTCACACCCTATATCTCAGTAATTATAACTGATAGACCCCAAGTATGATGGATTGTTGAAATCAGCCCACCAGGGAGAATCTCAAAATGAAATGATATATAGGGTGTTCGATAGAAAAAAGTTCAACTTCAGTGGTTTTTGGGGACACCCTGTATGTTTCGAAATAATTTTAAATGGTAGCCTATGTTGACATGCAACTTCATAGAGAGGAAGAATTCCAAGAAGATAAGTGGTTAGCCTTCTAGAGACCGAGGCGTTACTGGTGGTCCACCCTGTATCCATCGTGAACGTTTTTCAGTTTTCAAATTCATTCATTTTAAGTTTATCAATATTATTTTCCCCAGTAGAATGCTTGATTTATAATTAACTAAAATTGTTGCGTATATTTTTGTTTAGTTTCCGATTTTCTTTTCTTTAGGCTTTCTCCAGAGCATCGGGCAATGGAGATTTTTGTTTGGCTCACCTGTTTACCCATCAGACATTTAGAACGAGTAATTCGGTAGTGCTCGGCTTGGCCTATATAGCCTCTCCTAGATTGAACACTAGAGGAGGAGTTTGTAGCAAGGGTTATTATTTTATTTGCAACATTTATGCCCTTTTTTTCACGCCTCTCTTTCTCTCTCTCTATCTCTATTTTTCGTCCTAAAAAGCTGTTATGTCGTTTTTTGTTAGTAGTAGAAGTAGTTGCACAATGTTTTCAGCGGAAGTCCATTATTTTTTTCTCGAGTTGAAAAAAATGTCACCCATTTGTCAAATTTCATAACTTCGTAATGCATTTCCATGGTTAGGTACAGTCGTATTAAAAAAAAAAATCGTACAAGTACAGTCGTATTCAATAAAAAAGCGTACCAGTATTAAAAAGAGAGGATTTCGGGATCCTAGTTCTAGTTGTGTAAATGCTTTGTGTATTCGAGAACCTATGACAACTTTACTGTCAACATTTGGTAAGCAATCATTCCCGATAGTCCGTTTTATGCAGAATAGGATGTATGTTCATTTCTCTCTGTAATATACTGCAACTGTATATTGGAGGGAGAAATTAATGTCTCCCTATTTGCGTACAACGGGCTATCAGGAATGAATGTTTACCAAATGGTGACAGTAGAGTAATCATAGGTTCTCAAAAACACCAAGCATTGGTTGAGCCAATTTTACACAATGAGAACTAGAATGCCGAAATCTCTATATGTTTAATACTTGTGCGCTTTTTTATTGAATAGGACTGTACATTGAACGATATATTAAATGTAAAAAACTTCACACATGATAAGATTTCCACAAAATGTTTCGCTAACACAGTAGCTACGTCAGGTGATATACTGGTACAATGAACTAAACTAAGCTTGGCTTGCTTAACTTTTATACAGGGTGTTTCAAAAAAACCTAACCCCCTTGCTAGGGTAGGTAGAACATTGCAAAATAAGTTGGGTGTGCTCAGTGAAAAAATGTCGTAACGGCATCCGTTTTCATGATACAAGGTGTTGAAAAAATTATTTTTTTACACATTTTTCACGATTATTCCGAAACTACTGGCAACATTGTGATGCAATTATGTATGGTTGTTTCTTGAAATCTGACACATCACATGAATTTGTTTTTATATCTGACTCTCATAGAGGGTGCTAGTTACACGGTTCGTACCGAGTAGTTTTGAACATAACTGTTTTGAGGTTAGATTTTCCAATCCAAATATGATATGAACTTGAACATCATTAAATTTAACACCAAAAAGGTACTCCTGGTGAAACTCGAAATATGTTCCGTTTTCGAAATATTTCGATTTGAAAATAATGGAGTAGTAATGATGCTAGTATAAAATGAATTTTATTGAGTTCAATTACCTATTTATTCAGGTTCAGAAACAATAAAATTATTCTTGTGCTGAAGTTATTGATGGAACAAAGAATCATAAGTAGAAAATTAAGAGATATTTGACTAGAAACATGAAATATTGAATCAGTTAGAGTAAGTGTTCAAAATGTCCTACGTTTCAAGGAATACACGATTCTATATTCTTTTCTTAAGAATGTATTATTCTTCTGAACAGTTGAGGATCAGCTGTTAGGTCATTTAAGTGATGTTCAATTATGTCTCACAACTCTTGACGTGAATTTACCTATGTAGCATAGACTTTCTGCTCAAGATACAACAAAACTGTGTAATCCATGTTCTTAGTCAAATCTGTTTCGATGTTATTCTTGTGATTCATTGTTAAATCAATGAGTTTTGCATCAGAAATGTATTGTTGTTTTCGGTTTTCAATAAATAGGTGATAATTTTTCATAATACTCACTCTAATACATAGCTTTATACCAGCAACAGTTACCACTTCATCATTTTCAAATCTAAATATCCCGAAAACGGAACACAGTATCGAGTTTTACCACTAGTACCTTTTTGGTGTGAAATTGTAAGATGTTCAAGTTCACATCAAATTTGGATCGAAAAATCTAACCTCAACAAAGTTATGTTCAAAACTACTCGATACGAACCGTGTAACTAGCGCCCGCTATGAGAGTCAGTTATAAAAACAAATGCATGCGATGTGTCAGGTTCCAAGAAACATCCATACAAAATTTCATCACAATGTTGCCAGTAGTTTCAACATAATCGTAAAAAATGTGTAAAAAAAATATTGTTTCAACACCTTGTATCTTGAAAACGGATGGCGTTACGACATTTTTTTACTGAGCAAACCCAACTTATTTTGCAATGTTCTACCTACCCTAGCAAAGGGGTTAGGTTTTTTTGAAACACCCTGTATATCCTAATTTCCCAACCTGAAGGATTAGTTAACTGTGGCCAGGTTCGATATACCTTTATTTTCTGAAATTAGGCACAATATCTACATTAAAATACTGTGTACCGAATAAACTTGAAAGGGTTGAGGTCTAATTGATCGTTAAGTGAAATGTCAGAATTTTTTAGTTTGTTGATTTCGTGGTGTTTAATCATTGTTGAAGACCCGGTAGTATTGATTGTCATCGCTTGAAAGAGGTTTGGATGGATTTCATTCCTCAGAGGTCTTCCCCATTGCCTCATACAACTCGAAGATGAACTGAACAAAATAGTGGACTCTCCATCATTGTACCCCTTTAACTCTTCACTAACCTCGTACTATTGATCGCTTTCAACATTTGGTGGACAGGTCTTCAGCAGGGAATACACTCACAAAGATTTCTGCTTGGCCCATCTCTTCACCGATCTCAAATTCGAAGGGGGTATCTTGGGATTGGCCTATGTGGGATCTCCTAGACGCAATTCGGTGGGGGGCATATGTACCCCAGGTAAAGACGTATTCTTTTATGGAATGAAGCTTTAACGTGCCAGAAAAGGTCTAAGATGACTGCTAGGAATTGTGTTATTTCTGTTTTATTCTGATTTTTATTCCATCTGGCAACGCTGTATCACGTGACAGAGTTGTATTGTCGACTGATTTGGGGGGTCTCTCACGAGCAGCGAGAGAGAGAACACGACGTTTTTCAATGTGAAAGTAAAACTACAGTGCACAATAAACCACAAAAAGTCTATTTCTATTATTTATTCAGTTGGCCAGCAATCTAGAATTAATCGTAAACACCGGTTTTTTTCAGTAAGGTGCACCACAAGGTTCGATGTTGGGACCAAGGAGCATTGAAATAATTCGCAGTTGATAATACTTTAAGTATTCTTTTAATTGAAAAAATTATATTACTATAATCCAAATTGCTATTTCTGAATTGATACACGATACCCAATAAAATGAACATTTCAATGTTGAGTATTTTGACTGTTTTGTAGTTGCATATGAAAAATTACGCCCTCATCATATTAACCTTCAATGTGGAACAATAATTATTATCATTTCATGAAAGAATATGGAGTCTGCTATTTTGTGTGTTTTGTACTGCTTGAATAATATTTTCGTTGAATGTAGTTCAATGATTGTTTGGGAGATATTTATTAATACATGCTATTTTCCTCCAATTCGAAATGTTTGTAAATTTGAATTCTTTTCTCTTGTGAATTGTTCAAATTTTCAGAAGAATATCTTGCTTTTTCGCCAATTTATAATAATAGGTAAGTTGCATCACCCTTTGAGTGGTCACAATGAGTTAACGTTTTTTGCAAAATTCTCCGAATGTTTTTGGTTTGAGTTAGGTTTCCAAGCATTCTTTTCCTCAAACATGGAAAACTACTAATTATATTGTTTTTACCTGAAGGAAAATAACAGCTCTAACTAAACTGGGCGTCTATTGAAACGTTAATAGTGAAATTTGGCATCAAGTTTGACTTCTCGTAATTTCTGAAATATTGAACGAATTTTGAATTGCCGCCCAGATTCTGAATGCCTTTTTCATCGTCTTTCGAACCGTTCTTTACAGCTTCTTCTAAATTGATCATGACCCATGATACAGGGTGAAACAAAGTTTCGTGCATTTTGAAAAAAATTTCTCCGCCCCCCCATTTTGTCGGAAGACCACGATGCTCTTATTTTCTTCGGGCATTTCATAAATAGCAACCATACCTCGGGACGTTTTCGAGTTTTTGCCAAAAACTACTGTGGTTTCCGAAAAAAATTTTTTTTTGCATTTTTTTTAAATATACTAATTTTAAAGGAGTTCCATCAATGAATGCTTTTATGCATTTCAGGAAAGCGTTGGAGCAGATATGTATACCAGGTTACTCAAAAACAATCAATAATTATTTATTACTTCGCAGTCTATGATAAAAGTTTTCTACCTTAGTGAGCAGTAAATCAACACATCTCATCAACAAGAACAACGATAGCTTGTTTCTATAACAAAGTATTGTTGAAACAATGTAGGTATGCATAGAGGTTATATCAATTGCCAATTTTCATGAAAACGTCAATGTAATTCGGCTCCTAAAAAATTTAAAGATGCCTCGTTTAAATCGGGTCGAAATGGAAAGTATCATTAGGTAAGGTCACTATAGTGATATAAACTATAGACTGCGAAGTAATAAATTATTGATTGTTTTTGAGTAACCTGGTATACTGTATATGCTCCAACGCTTTCCTGAAATGCATGAAAGCATTCATTGATGGAACTCCTCTAAAATTAGTCCATTTAAAAAAAATGCATTTTTTTTTTCTCTGAAACCACAATAGTTTTTGGCAAAAACTCGAAAACGTCTCGAGGTATGGTTGCTATTTATGAAATGCCCGAATAAAATATGAGCATCGTGGTCTTCCGACAAAATGGGGGAGCGGAAATTTTTTTTTCAAAATGCACGAAACTTTGTTTCACCCTGTATCATGGGTCCTGATCAATTTAGAAGAAGCTGTAAAGAACGGTTCGAAAGACGATGAAGAAGGCATTCAGAATCTGGGCGGCAATTCAAAATTCGTTCAATATTTTAGAAATTACGAGAAGTCAAACTTGACGCCAAATTTCACTATTAACGTTTCAATTGACGCCCAGTTTATATCATGTCTTTAACGACCCTCTAAAGAATTTGGAATAAAAACTCTTGGAATGCGACTTACCTATATTGGACATCTACCTCTTTGCTTAAACTTTCAGATAATGTAGACAGTGTATAAGGTCATTCCGTAATACAGGGTGGACAAGAGAATTTGGTCACCCCGACTGTAACTTTTGAGTGGTGGTGGCAATGTTTTCGATGAGCCACCTTGTATGTATGCTCAGTGCTGCCAACCCGTGGAGATAATATAATTTCCATGACAAATGCTGACAATTTCTCAGCCCTTCTTTTATATATTATTCTGTTATATTTTAATAGTTTGGTATGTTTATATCTTGAATATCAATTTTTCAATTCCACAATTTACTCTAATCGACTTACCGACTGCTGATGATGGGCTATATACAGGATGTTTTTGAAGGTAGGCAACAAATAGACAAAATCACCAAAAATTGCCCACATAAAAGTTGCAAAATAACGAAGTTCAGAAACCCGATAGAATTGGCCCTATTACGGTCCTGGTATATTTACCATTTCGATTTCAGGTGGTGTAGGCCTTTCCACATGTCCCCCTCTTTGGATGATTTTTTAATAGAAATCTTTTTATGTAAAAACGAAATGCTGCTGCTGCTGCACATTGGCGACACTCACCATAAATAAAAAAGTATATAAACAAGTTCATTATTCTCATAAACGTCTTGCTACATCGTTTGACAATGCACCGAAAAAACAATTGAAAAAGAGTATTCGATGACTAACTAGACAAACAATATTCTACTGTGGACTGTAGGGGAGCAAAGGATCCGTGGGGTAACTCGAAATTTTAAATCTTCTGAAGATTCTAACATAATTAGCGAAACACGTGTCGATGAGTTTAAACAGTGTAGTGGACATAGATATCACAGTATACACCCTAGGGTTTATACTGTGTAGATATTAAGGACCGAGACAAAACAAATATTTAATCAAAAGGGATTCTCTCCACGAGTTGGCAACGCTGTGTACGCTGGTGTTGGGAGTAGTGATGTCGACCGACATCACACGAACTCCATTCGCCCAAACATAGATATATATATATAGGCGATTCCTAAAGACCAATCAAAGCAATTTGGGCTATGGCGGTGAATGCAAATCATTGATATTGCCGGCAAATTTGATTAACGAACATCTCCACATGATAAGAAACATAATGTAACTGTGTAATGGTTAGTTAGTGGTTAAAAGATCTGACATATCTATATTATATGGAAGGAAAATATTCTTTAGGCAAAAGAGCCTACTTTGTCTAAACAATGTAACCTAACTCGGCCTAATATGAAGATAATATAAGGAAGGAAAATATCCTTACTGTATAAGAATCACGACTACTTTTGTTAAACGATCTAACCTAACTCGGCCTAAATGAACCTTCTTTCTCTCTATCAGACGTGGTAATCGGACACTTCCTTAGGAATTCCCCTGTGAAGAGAGAATTGCATGCTCATCGCTGCTAAGCAAGAAGCGAATGGGGCAAAAAAGTATCCATCGCCAGCACGCAGGCGCTTTTTGGATCGTCCTGGTTGGTCTTTAGGAATCGCCTATATCGTATCGTACTCAAAAAAAAACCTCACTTATCCCCCCCTTCGCAGAGTACTTCAAGAACGGCTACACTCTCTATCTGAACTCCGGTCTCAGCTCCAGCCGCAACCACTACGGCCAACGAGTCATCACGAGAGAAGCCGATCTGGTGACGGCGCACGAGTTCGGACACAACTGGGGCTCCGAGCACGACCCGGATATACCCGAGTGCTCGCCCAGCGCCAGCCAGGGTGGCTCCTATCTCATGTACACCTACAGTGTCAGCGGGTACGACGTCAACAACAAGGTAAATAGATCCGGCTCGAAGGACCAATATGTTCGATGCTTGATAGATAGTGGACTGTATTTGTATGGGAAACTTTCTTCAAAACAAATTAACCGTGACGCAGGTTATGTCGCTTATGTCATGACACAATTTTTCCAGAGGTTTTCGCCATGCAGCTTGAGGTCGATCAAAAAAGTTCTGCAGGCCAAGTCGGGCCGTTGCTTTTCCGAACCAGAAGAAAGCTTCTGTGGCAACCTGAGAGTGGAAGGGGACGAAGAATGCGACGCAGGTCTTCTAGGGACCGAAGACAACGACGTATGTTGCGATAAAGATTGCAAGCTGAGGCCGAAAGCCATGTGCAGGTAAAGAAATTGGTCGTTTTCTAAGATCAGGGGCAATTGAACATCTCTATCTTTGAATGGCATTCTGATTGTTTGAAGAACAATATTCTTGGAAAATGGAACAATGAAGCACAGTTTTATTGGATTGATTGATTGATCTCATTTCGTCTTGTTGTTTCCAGCGACAAGAACTCCCCCTGTTGTCAGAACTGCCAACACATGCGAGCGGGCGTTAAGTGCAGAGAAGCGCAATACGCCACGTGCGAGCAGGAGTCCCGCTGCACGGGCCTGCAGGCCGACTGCCCCAAGAGCCCGCCCATGGCCGACGGCACGGATTGCCAGGAGAGGGGCAGGTGCGGAGCGGGCAAGTGCGTGCCCTTCTGCGAGACGCAGTCCATGCAAAGTTGCATGTGCGACATCAGTAAGTATGATGATAATATGCATCTATTAACTCAATTCGAACCGTCCATTTCACATTCCTGAAGGTTTGGATAGATCCGGCTCGAAGGACCATGTTGGACTGTATCTGTATGGTTATATGATACATGGTAATGAAATAAAGATTGATAGTAGAATTGCAATTAGTATTGCAATCATTTATTTATCGATTTTATTGACGGCACGGACTGCCGAAAGTGCGTGCCCTTCTGCGAGACGCAGACAATACAGAGCTGCATGTGCTCAGTAAGTATGATAATGATGATTTGCATCCATCAACTCAATTCTAACCGTCCATCATACATTCCTGAAGGTATGATTTGGGTAGATCCGGCTCGAAGGACCAATATGTCGGACTGTATTTGTATAGTTATATGATACATGGTAATGAAATAAAGATTTATATCAGAATTGCAATCAGTATTGCAATCCTTCATTTAATGATTTTATTGACGGCACGGACTGCCGAAAGAGGGGCAGGTGCGGGACGGGCAAGTACGTACCTTTCTACGAGACGCAGGAAATACAGAGCTGCATGTGCAACATCAGTGAATATGATATATGCATCCATTAACTCAATTCGAACCGTCTATTTCACATTCCTGAAGGTTTGGTTTGTGTGGATCCGGCTCGAAGGACCAATATGTTGGACTGTATTTCTGTGGTTATATGATATGTGATAATGAAATAAAGATTGATGTTAGAATTGCAATTCCTATTGCAATCCTTCTTTATTTATCGATTTTATCAACGGCACGGAGTCGAAGGAGAGGGGCAGGTGTGACATCAGTGAGTACCATAATAACAATATTCTACAACAATAACAATATTCATCTATCAACTCAATTCAAGCTATCCATTTTACATTCGCTTGATAGCTAAACAGAGCAAATCAAAATATAACAGTGTTTAGTACTTGTATGACACTATATAATAGTTAAGTAATTGTATTACCCTATATAGTATATGAGATTTCCATTTGTTGTTAACATGACGACGTGTTGTTGAAACATACGATACATCAATAAAATCAATAAATAGCGAAGGATTGCAATCTGAATTGCAATTCTCGTTTCAATTTTCATTGCATCATCATATCCATACAAATATAGTACACTATCAAGCATCGAACATATTGTGGTCCTTCGAGCCGGATCTATTCAAACCAAACCTTCAATACTGCCATGTAACAATGGATGCCAAGCAGCTGGACCTTTCACAGGTAGCAACAAGTGAACGAATGAATGAATAAATGGTGATATACGATGATCCTACAAAGTGTGAAAATACTTGTTGGTAGGTAAAGGACGATATGGCCATTCGATTCTGATGATGGACCGATTTCACATTACCCGGAAATGATTTTGAATGTTTTGGAATCACCCAGATTGTTTTAGAATGATTCATGGTACTCCAGATTGTTATAGAACTTTCCGGAATGTTCTAGACTGTTCCAGAATGTTATAGACCTATCGGAACGTTGTAATATCGGCTTAATACTTAGATAGTTAGGATGACAGAGCAGAGCTGCTTTTGCGTCATCAGTGAATACAATAGGACGATTATGACCTCAGACTAAATAACAATGGATATACATCGCGATTCATTTATAAATCATTCAACAATCCTAAACACGGATGAATGTAATCACGAATGGTGGGGATAATAACATACACTTGAACATTTGAGGGTGGGTGCTCAGATTCAATATCAATAGAAAGACTTCGTTATTCATTTTACAAATTGATATAGACTCAGGCGAATAGGATTTCGCGAATGTTTGATAATATTTTCAATTTGTTATAGTCGAGAACGCTTGCAAAAGATGCTGCAGATCCAATATCAACGAGACTTGTTCGCCAGTGGACTCGACAGATATTTTGGCTGATGGTACACCCTGTATACAAGGTTTTTGCAATAATGTAAGTGATATATCGGTCATAATTTTGACCTTGAATACGTACATTTCTCACTCACATGAGAGTTTTTTTTTGACGAAGTAAACTTGACATTTCATTGAGAATTTGGTTGCCTGTCAATTTAACTACAAAAAAATGTTTTCGAAAAAATTCCGTACTAAAGAAATTTCTCTTCAATGAACCATAAAGTAAAATTTGACTATAACTGTTAATGAACCTTATTGAAAGACCAAATGAATATACCTGAATGTTTTGAAGAAACCAACAAAGTCACCAAACATACTTGAAACTTTACCAAATGAATGAAATGAATCTCATTGAATGACAATAAATATATAGCATTGCTTCAAATGAACCACTTCAATATACAAACATGCCTAGAATGCTTGAAATACCAAAATATACCTGAATGATTCAAATGAATCTCTTGTTTAGTGACCCATGAATATTCCTGACCTCATAGTCAGTCACCATAAAAACTACAAACTACTTCCAAACACGCCAATTCTTCGTCTTTCTCTCCTTGAGACTTTTTTTCTCGTTTTCCTCTTAGGGCCACTGTGAGAAAACGGTCCAAGACGTGGTGGAACGTTTCTGGGACATCATCGAAGACATAAACATTAACAAGGTGTTGTTGTTTTTGCGCGACAACATCGTAGGCACGGTCGTCTTGGTCACTGCCCTTTTATGGATCCCAGCCGGTTGCGTCATCAGTTTCGTTGACAGAAAACGAAGAAGAGACGAGTTGGAAAGGTAATAAATAATAATAAATCATGGAAACATTGGAAACCATCTATTTTTCCACAAGTTTTAACTCTACGTCTGTCATCAAACAACAAAAAAAGGACTCATAACTAACAATAATATAACCTAGAATTTTTTTGAATTTGATTTCATTGTACAGGGTGTTCGTGAAATAGAGGTTGACAATATGTTCCTTGTAATAACCAAAGTAATGTGACTTTTATAATACCATATAGACAGCATCAAAGTTTAGCAGTAGTTGCAATGTCCAACAAAACGGTTGAGAATTTATACACTTCAGTGTTTGTCAGCAATGTTAGCTGATTCATAAGCGAGGTTAAGTAAGGTTAGTTTAAATTTCACAGAATTGCTGTTTAATTATTGTCAATCCGGCAGAAAAAAATTGCACTGAGATTATTAAGTTACACTGGTTCTATAGATGATATACTTTAGAAGTAATTTTATCTAATGAGAGAATGTGAAGATTCCTTTTGATGTCCAAGTAACAAGGAATTTGAAAGGTATTTTGAAAGCGCAAGGGCTGAACTGCAACAACGAATATATTGGGCAAACACATCAAAACGTAGGTGCAAGATTTATGGAACATTGCTCAATTCAGATTTTATCGGGTTGATAAATTGAGTATTACCCAACATGTTTCCGTATCACTTCAGATGACAGTATTTTTGATTTATTTTTCTCTTTGATTGCTGAACCACAGTCTCCACAACTTCTGGGATGTGGTTATATCCGCGACATTAAATCCGCGACATGATATCCGCATGCCAATATATCCACGACGAAGAAATTTGTATTTTATTAAAATAAAAATTTATTATTATTTGGAATAAGTACAATAAATATAATGGAATACAATCAACGCGACAACACCTACCGGGGCTTTGTCCCTGGACCACATACTAATAATTCTCTTCTACCCTTAATCAAAATAAGATATAAAAACATAACAATCAATAAAGTGAATTTTTATCACTGATAAAGAGACATGATAATATTTGTTGCAAAAAAAACTATGATAATAAACTTAGATTCTCAAGACTATAGGAAATGCTAGGGGAATTTCGTGAATCTATGGCTTTCCAAGCCAGATTGAATACTAATAGAAAAATTATTTCTATGCAGAACAAATTGCCTCTCGTAGATATCGCGTTTTGTTGGATTCATAGGTCAAGGAAAACATGGCTGACTTTCACTCTAAGCCAGGTGCTATTAGAAATGTTTTCCTAATTGCTAACCGTCATCGCAACGTTAGATGATGACCTTGGAATTCGCGAATTGTCAGTGACGTCATGTACGCGCGAGAATTCAGAGAGAAACAGATGGAAATGGTGCTGGTTTTCTTCGGATATTCTCATTCGTGAAGACTGCAATGTCTACAAATAGGTGATAGAAAACAGATCGATGCATAGCCATTAATAATAATAATCTTTCTTATTCCCAAGAAACATATATGTTTATAGCAGGGAACATTATGGAAGAGCAACTAAAAATAAAATAAAATTACATAATCAGATAATCATTTGTAAATCATAATATATAGATCTTTTACCCATATCTGATTTAATTTTAATACAATGTCGCAGATTTGATGTCGCTTATATAATGGATATGGATCAAATGACATCTTACCGAAAATAATATGTATTTCTAGATGGGAATGGATGCAAAAGAACGATATGATTCACGGCTCTGACGATATCAGACGAGTGATACATGTGAGGGTGCCCAAAGCTAGGAATGTCACTCACATAACAAGCAATCGACCGATCGTTCCGGAATAGTGTGATAACGATAACAAAAACAGTTTAAGGAGATAAAAATGACGTTTTTCTGCAACCGACACAAAAGTCGTCCATTTTAATACCAAAATTAGCTCTTGAATTGACGTTTCTATTACTGACACAAAAATAGGTATGTTGCTAGACAATAAATTTAGTTCCTAGGAGCTAAAGTTCAACTTAAGTGCCTAGGAGCTAAAGTTCAACTTAAGTTCCTAGGAGCTAAAGTTGAACTTCAGCTCCTGGGAGCTTAAAAGGATGTACTAGAGTCCATCAAGAATAAACAACATTGTTATGGTTGGTTATTTGGGTTGGGACGCATACCTGATTTGTTCCCGATTTCGGTAGATTTGGCATATCATACCCATGCTGGAGATATGAATACAAGAATACACCTCATTATAGTTGAGTATTTTTGTTGTGATCAGGTAAGCCTTCAAGATTCACTTACTTGCTTGATCTGTATTTCATTCGTAATTCTCTGGATGGATAACTTGTAATCACGGCCAGCAATAGTTTCTTGTCTCAAACAACGATATTGTTTACCTCCATTTGATGATCAAGCCAAACACAGTGGAGTATGGAGAGAAATAAATATTCGCACCTGGTCTATGCACAAATATGTCACTCTGTGGTTGTATTCATATTGAAACTACAATTCGAACATCCTTGAAAATTGAATAAACCTGCTGTTAATGCAGTTGGAATATTCTCACCACACGGATTATTTGTTGCATTGCATACATATGGCACCACGACATTGGTGGTTACTTCACATATTCATTTGAGTTGATTGTTTCGGTTGCAGAAAAAATAGCATGTTTCATTCGGATCAAAAGTGACTTTGTTCGACTCGCATATTTTGCTTTCGCTCGGCTTCGCTAAACGCTCCGCCTCGCAAATGCAAAATTAGCTTGTCAAACAAAGTGTCACTCTTGATCCTAATAAAACAATCTACTATTTTCAACATTGAAAATATTTATAGTGAGGTGACAAAAATATATAACATTGGGCCGCATTTCTTCAGGCATCTTCCTGCCACAAGAAAGTTGAACAACGCTTATTCGTTTTTATGTTCTATTTTTTTATGAATAGCTTACCAGAGATTCAGATTTTTTATGAGTGTTTTCATGGGCGTAACCAAGATTCGATTCAGGAGGAGGGACAGTAGGGCATTTTTTCAAATGATAAAACAAATTCTGTTCTACGATATTCAAATTACTTCAAAACAGAATACCTATGTTTTTCCTTCAACTATGGACCTTGGCGTGTTGATACTTAGTTACACGCTAGGGTCCATAAAAGCCTATTTTAAGCCCTTGATTCATAAATAACTATTCTGTTTTTAGCTGTCGCACTATCGACTATGAAAATTTTCAATGTTACTTATTCGATTATGATTTTTTGGCAAACTTTAGGATTGTTGAGGTCTTTTAGAACTCATTCTACAACCCAAATGGGGTTTACTTGACGAAAATATCTTTGTTCAAATGACCAGAATGATGTTAGGTGTATTTTAATATCTAGTCAAATCTGATAACGAGATATATGACGCCAAGATAACTTTTTTGACATTATCATTGAATATTAAACAATGATGTAGGTATAGGTACTCTTCCTGGGTAATTATTTTGACGTTTGACGCAAAAAATGTCAAGTAATCTACTAATCAGAATTCGCAAAACAAAATTCTTCGAAGTATATTACTATTCGCACCTTATTGAAATAAGTTTTAGGAACAAATCAGTATTGAGTATGTTTGAAAATTCCATCAATTTGATTACTCACCTATTTATTATTTTCAGTTGTATTTTTTGTATTATAAAACCTGTTGTAAATAATATAATTTCGTGTTTGTTACTTGTTTTAAAATAAGATTTAGGAGCTAAACCAGTATTGAGTATGTAAATTGATAACGTACTTATTATTTTGCGTTGTATTTCTTGTATTATGGAACTATTGTACTTAATGTATCTTCCTGTTTGTTATTTTTTGTTTTTTCTGCTGTCTCGTTTATATGAAACACTCCAGTATTCATGATAAATCACTTTTTTGTGATAATGTGATACTTATATAGTGAAAATACACGATTCCAAAATTCGCTTGTTGTTTATTTATTTCTAATAACGATAAGCAATTCATCCAAATATGACCCAATTAGAATCTTTAACATTCAAAACAAACATTATTATTACTTAGATAAGGATAAAATTATTATTTTGTAGGTCTAGGTAATACCTAGTAGATAAAAAAGTGGATATTCCGCGGGTGACAACGAAATAACTGGCAACAGCGACATACAATAATTGTTTTTCATTATAGAATCTTGGCATTTGGATCGAAGATATAGTTCCTTGAAACCGATATTTTCCACGAAAAAAACGATATTTTTACGTCAATAAATAGAGCGAAAAATTTCCTTTTCAATGACATTTATTTTAAATACTATCTATAGTTAAATACTGTCTGTGGGTTAATCGCAATTTAACCCAATAAATTCAGCAAGTTTGAGTAAAAAATGAAAGAGTCAAGCTTTCAGAAAATATAAATTCCAAAATCAACCAAATAGCAACTATAGAGTCCAAGCGGCATAATATACATTTTTTTTTTCAAACGAAAATGACAAATTGTTGTGATTATAGCAATAATTATTCATACGAAAACTCATGAAAAAAGAATATACAAAAAAGTGGAAATACAAATTTAAACTAAGAAATTCAGTTTTTCTGCTCACCTGCACAATTTTCTATTTAGCGTTTGTAAATATTTTAAAGACATATTGTTGGGATCAAAATATGACTTTCTTCATATAAGGATGTGTCCTAAAATTCACCCCCTCCAAGCTACAACCACTGTAAGTTAGGTAACGAAAAAATATATTCTGAAATTGTGACTAAAATATCAAATCTTCTGGAAATTGGCAGGCCCCTGTCCATTTCATTATTTCTTCAAAAATTATGTAAACCCAGTTTTGGGGAAGGTTGGAGGGTATCCTCACTTTTATTGGCCGAAATGGGGTGCATTTTAGGACACATATTCATATGAAGAAAAAGTCTTATTTTGATCCCAACAATAAGACGTCCAAAAAATATTTACATCACCCGGTGTATAAGTACTCACTAAAACTAGATTTGATATGGGAGAATTTTCCCGGATTATATTAGGTTGATATTACTCGAAGGCAGAGTGAATAAAATAATTGTTTGGTTCAATTTGGAACCCTTGAAATTTCATCGTGAGACGCCACTGTTGGCATTCAGCAGAGTACAGAGTACATGTGCTAGCTAAAAATGGGAAAGATGTCCTTGTATAACGGTATATATAATTATACCGGGTGGTCAACTTTGAGAGACTATCTATAGAAATTATGGTGCTTTCGATGTATTCGAACTTGTATAAAACAGCGGCATTTTTGATTTCTTCTTCGTTTTGTAGCCATCTGATTTCCTCTCAAGTAAAGCTCATCTATTAGACAGAGTAAAGTCATTGCTTGAAATTTGACATTCCATCGACGATGAGATTTTTTTGAAATAATAACACAATGGAGTCATTATGTGAAATCGATGACATACAAAGTACCTCATTGATGTATCGAACACAGTACAACAGGAGCAGTTTTCTGCTATACCTAGCCGTAAAAAATGAAATATGTTAATACGTTCTACACGGTTCTAAACAAAAATCACCGTGTTTTAGTGCAGAATAATTTATATTGAGGGTAGACAAGTGAACCACCCACTACGAAAGTAGGCAATCACAAAGTTAGTATTGTTTGATAAAAAGGGTGGTAGGTGATGACTCAGGTAAGTTTGACACAGTAGCGTAACAAGAGCTATAGTAGGTATATGTCATACCACAGTTAAGGAATATATTACAAACTGTGTAATTGGTCCCATGGCAACCGTTCGAAAGTTATACATTTTTTTTTATTCAAACTTTCAAGGTCAAAATAACTCCGTATCGTAACGCTCATGCACCAGGGTGTCCCACTCAGGTGTATATGTCAACCCCTCTTATTTATCCTCATAATTCTCAACATATTTTGGTTATTCAACAACTTTTCTGGGAAAATTTTTTACGAATTTTTTGAATCTGTTCTCATTTTTTCTTTATATCAGCAAAATATACAGGGTGGCTCAGACATTCTTTTTCCCAAAGAAATGATCTACCTATACCGGGTGCTGCCAACGAATCTATTAGACAAGTCATAACTTCTAGACCATAATAAGGTGTATCAAAATGAGAGGTGGTATAGGTTTCACCGGAAATGGCTCCGGTTCTAAATTTTTAAATGGAACACCCTGTATATTGTAACAATTTTGGATTTCTGAGACAATTCTAGATCAGAATGTGACATTTTAGAGAGCTTTCATGCCTACTTAATTTTTTCGGAGTCACTTTCGAAATTACATCTAGGTGGCCATGATCGGATCGGAAGTAAACAAATCTAAAAGGACCTCAGGTGATATCAGAAAATTACAATCGAGAAGTTTTAATGACAAGTTCGATAGATATGAATAGAAATTAAATATGTGTCTTGAACAAGGAGGAATGCACTTTGAAAATTTACTTTAGTGAAAATTTCAAGAAATGAGGAAATTGAAAAAAATGTTAAGGCATCGCTGAAGTTATTGTTAATTTTGTTAAATTTGTTGATCCAATCGCAAATAAATTAGTATCGTTTGATTCGTCAAAATATCCTTTTTTCGGGAAGTGCTTACAAGTAAATGAATTATCATCCATGGCACACTTGACAAAAGTGAATAAATTATCATGAAGTATTTTCGTCAGTAATATTCAATTTATGTTCTTATTTGTAATCCAATCGCAAATAAATTAGTATCGTTAGATTCGTCAAAATATCCTTTTTTCGGAAAGTGCTCGTCAAAAAATGGTCGCCATTTGAAAAATAATAGTTAGACACGAAAATGTAATTTTGCCAACTTGTCATATTTATATCTATCACTAAAACTTCGCAATTGCAATTTTCTGATATCACCTGAGGTTCTTAGAGATTAGTTTACTTCCGATCATGGCCACCTCTAGATGTAATTTCAAAAGTGACTCCGAAAAAATTAAGTAGGCATAAAAACTTTCGAAAATGTCACATTCTGATCTAGAATCATCTCAAAAATCCGAAAATGTTACAATATACAGGGTGTTCCGTTTAAAAATTCAGAACCGGAGCCATTTCCGGTGAAACTGGAAGTGACCGGGAAGTGAAAAATATGTGAAAAATCTCCTCTTCACATACCATTTACCTATACCAAATCTCATTTCGATACACCTAATGGTCTAGAAGTTATGACTTATTGTCTAATAGATTCGTTGACACCTGGTATATGTTTTTCCATGATTCTATGAAGCCCTCAATCTGAATTCAAAAATATATATCATTCATATATAATTAACAAACAAAATTTAGATCATTTCATTTGAAAAAAAAATATTTTTCACTTAGTCACCCTGTATTTTGTTGATATAAAGAAAAAGTGAGCACAGATTAAAAGAATTAGTAAAAAATCATTCTAGAAAAGTTTATGAATGACCACCTACCCTGTACAATGAAAATGAATCTTGAACAGAAAGGACGCATGCATATTTTGAACATTGCATTCCGAATGAAAGTCGGTCAATTTCTAAAAAAGTGATCGCATATGGAAAAACATGAAAAGTTTTCATAGTTAATTTTTTCTTTGAGATTAGAAGAGAGATTAAGAGATAGAAGTTCCCATCAATACCTGATGTTTATATTAATATATACGTAGGTATTGAAAAATTATTTACAGACGCCACTGGTATCGATATATCATCTGAAAAATACTTCAAATGTATTTGCTTTGCTGCTTTGGGCGGTTATATATTACTCTAGTTGATGATCTTAATATTAATCAATATATATATATGTTTAGAGTAACTTTTCTTCCTAAAATATGATCTATCAATAATTGTCGAAGTTCTGCTACTGTAAAATAGACCACCCTGTATAATAATTACTAATCATCTATTTGTGCTATTTTATTCGCTCAAATTCATAGAAACAATGTCACAATCCCGATAAATCTAAACCATTCAAACGATAATAAGTTTCGGTATAATATCGAGGGTTAGATTTAGATACATCAAATATATTTGCTTTGCTCACAGTACTATATTGTAATAGTATAGTATGCCACCAAAATATCTCGGGCGGTTTTCTATTACTCTAGTTGATGATCTTAATCAATATGTTTTTAGTAACTTTTCTTCCTAAAATATGATGTATCAATTGTCGAAGTTCTGCTACTGTAAAATAGACCACCCTGTATAATAATTACTAATCATCTATTTGTGATATTTTATTCGCTCAAATTCATAAAAACAATGTCACAATCCCGATAAATCTAAACCATTCAAACGATAATAAATTTCGGTATAATATCGAGGGTTAGATTTAGATACATCAAATATATTTGCTTTGCTCACAGTACTATTGTAATAGTATATTAGTATGCCACCAAAATATCTCGGGCGATTTTCTATTACTCTAGTTGATGATCTTAATCAATATGTTTAGAGTACATTTTCTTCCTAAAATATGATGTATCAGTTAATTGTAGAAGTTCTGCTACTGTAAAATAGACCACCCTGTATAATAATTACTAATCATCTATTTGTGATATTTTATTCGCTCAAATTCATAAAAACAATTTCACAATCCCGATAAATCTAAACCACAGATTAACAAATTGTTAATCTGTGTCTAAACCATTCAAACGATAATAAGTTCGGTGTCGAGGGTTAGATTTAGATACATAGATTTAGAAGAGGGTTTCTACCTAGGCAGTTGTTAGACGCTCGCCAACGGCCAAACATGGCAGTTATTTCGGGAAAATTGGCTCTGCCACTCTACATTTCTGTTTTTTTGGTGTACCTGTGGACAGCCAAAGGCCAAAGTGATTTTGACAAGAATATGAAAAAGCATTTGGATAAGCTCACCATGCTCAAGGAGATGGAAGGTTTCGGCAGTTTCTATTTTACTACATGGACGTTTGTAAGTCACTATAGTGTTTTTTTTATCTAGAGTTAAGTGGAACCACGTGCAACACAGCAGA